GCTATTGCAGGTCCAATTCGTTTTCTGGATCTGGATCAGCACTGTCCTACAGTTCATCAGCTTCGCGATTCACACGACCTCCATCCTATGGATATGGTGGCGGTTACATGGCCCGAAGTCTAAGTAGATCTGGTACGGGTCTATTTGATGCTAGCGAATTACACACTGTTTTCACAGCTGCTTCGGTTTTTCTTGGCGCTTTTGGACTTTTATTTATAATCTGGATGGCCTGAGAATCAGATCCGAGCCTTTAGAGCAATACTGTAATGTTCTCGCCTTTTTTGCCCATTTGTTAGTGTCAGATAGATAGAATCAGCCCCCACAAAGCCCTTAGTTTGGTTCCAGCTTGCGCATGCTCAGCTCTTGGCTAGAGATACCTAAAGGCAGAGCTCACGCAAATTCCAGGGACAGGGTCAGGCTTACCACTCCGTTTTCCTTATTGGTGCGCATCTCCTCTCGGTCGCTAAGACGGAGAACCGCGCCAGGAAAGCCCAGTGTTGGGCCCAATCACGCCCATATTATGAGCCTACACTCTGCCTTTGAGAAAGGGGACAAATGTCGTTGGCTAGCTTTTCCATCCAAAACCCGCTTTTAGTGAGCCAGTCTCCGCTCCGTTCTCAGTCTTTAGGGTCCCTGGATAGAGTTGTTGTCCTGTAGGTATCAAAAGCGCACGGGCAAGATTCTAGAGTACGTTTTTGTGCACGTGCACAGTCTATTTCCTTGTCAATAGCTACGCTTACGCTTATTCGAACTCAACTGAATCAAGCCTGCTATTTGATGGTAGATCTTGGCTAGAAAATAGTCCTTTACAGTGACAGGACAACCATCCTGTTCTAATCTGTAGATAATGCAGAGCCATACTGTATTATTGTAATAATAATCATGTAATAATAATGTAAATATTAATAGTAATTATAAGCTCCATACGATATGCGGTGTGTTTCGTCTCTTCTGGTCGATATGGGTTGTAAATGTGTTCGGCAAAGAGTTTAGTAAAGAATTACTGATGAAATTGTGTTAATGGCACGACAAAGCGTAATCCGTAGCTATCCGTCCAAATCGATTTTCGTTCAATCACTTACATGATCCGCTCTGCTGCCACCAACGTGCTATTTTTTCGCTTTACACAATCCGCGGCAGCTTGGCTTCAGGCACGGACGGGGATGAAATTCGGAGGGCTCACACTATCACAAAAGTATTCGGCTGTTTCGTGGAAAGCCAGCCGGCTACGGCGCCCACGCGTTGCGGTCATTGCATGAGAATCGATGGGGAAAAGTGCTTGAAATTTGAGCTCGAAAGAGAAAAAGAAAGAAGAAAACGTGAAAAGAGAATAAGAGAGGTAATCCAGAATCTTTTAAGGGTCAACCCTATTTGGCCGATCGTTGGCAGCATCAGTACTCACCAGAACGCCACCACTACACAGTGTAGGAGTACAAATGAGTACACCGCATTTTACTGACAGGTATGTCTTCAGTTACAGAATAGTTTCCTTGGCTGTTTATACCGTATTCAACAGCAGTACAGTATGATTCGTTACATTTTTAGGTATCCTTATGTGCGTTACAGCTATGGAAATACGGATACCTCCTTAGGAATCGCTACCCAGTCTGAGTCTGTAAGTTCAATTCCTCTTACCTTTATTTTTCGAGATAAAATTGCAATAAATAAAGCATAGTAAGAGTTCTTCTCCGTGTATGCACCATTTCCACTCTCATTCTGAATCCTAGGGGTTTTTGAACATGATCTGGCTTCTCTGGCTTCAATGTTTAGCCGACAAATAACGTAGTTTTTTATTCTCTGAAAGTCCTGGTGCCAGCTAAGGTGACGTCAAAGTGGCACCTGAATTCACATCACAGGTGGCAGAACGATCCGAGACCTACGCGTATTTAATCCGTAGAGCTCGTATTGGTTCCCCAGAACTAACTTTAGAACTAAACCCTCTCTCTTGTATTTTTTCTCTTTCACACTTATTTTATATCTTATAATGCAGATTATTAGATATGAGAATCTATGTGGATAAGACTGCAAACATCAATCACGACGAGTCCCTCCTTCTCCCCACGCCCGGGCTCGCTCAAGGCAGACGCGATGTGTGTCTTTTTTCCGGGTTGCGCTTCCATGAAGAGAACGCGGAACTATTGGCAGAAATGCGTCGGAGCGTCGACCGGTCGGGCGTGTCGCGCGGCGACTTGTCAAGTGTCCGATTGAGAAAATTCTGGAAGAGGAGGTGTCACACGGTATCTTAAGGTGAGGGTGTCACATGTCTTGTCCTCTGCGAATGGAAAAGGTTGTTCTTGGGAGAGAGGGGGGTCGTATGTGGCTTTGAGAAAAATTTACCGCGTTGGGAAAAAAATTTTCCGGTTGTTGAGCTTTCCTGATTTCTCCTGTTTTATGTGAACAGGAGAAATCAGGAAAGCTCAACAACCGGGAAAATGTGTGTGTTTTATGTGTGTTTTATGTGTACTATACACCCCTCCCTCCCCCCACCCGACGGAAATTTTTGGGTGAAAAACTGGAAAATGTGGGAAATCGGTAGCTAAGTGTTGGGGAAAGGGGGGGGTCGTGCCTACACCACCATTTCTTTTCACACATCACAATGCTGCACCCTGTATGACAAGCGATCCCCCTTGCTACCGTATTTGCCACTGAAACCAAATAGAACTTTGATGTACGGATAGGCTCTTTCAAACGGTGTTCCAGTTCGCAAAAAGGTTCGCCGTCATGGAGGCACCAGTCAGTGCTAAGTTAAGTTTGTACAGGCTACTGTGAAGACCTTCACGTAACTTCCATTGACCAAAGTGGCTTTGAATAATTTCGAAGCTTCACAGGGGCTCACTGGTACC